GAAAGAGCGTAGCAGCCGGAGGGCAAGGGGGCTGGGAGGGTGCGGGGTGGGAACCTGAGTCTGAGGCAAAGAGTCCGAATAATCGGTGTCCGGTTATGGGGGGAAGCGCTGAACGCCGGGGAGTCCCGGACCAAAGAAAAGTCTGTTTCTCAAGCCTCAGTGTCCCACTCCTGTGGAGACTGCACCGGCCTAGTACCGATCGCGGTTCGCCACGGATTCAAGCTACCACCGACACCAAAGGAACCGCCTTCGGTAAACCGCCGCTTTGGAGAGGCCCGCCCCGCCCCGCCCCGCCCCGCCCCGCCCCTCGGTGGACTTGTATCTGCCTCTTCCGGACTTGTGTCACCTCCCGGAGACTGGAAAGGCGTGAGGGGCTGGGTTTCGCGCTCCAGAGGTTCGTCACTTCCGCTTTGTCTCGCTGTGTGGGCGGGACCTATAAACGTGCGTGGAACTGGTGGGGCACGGGTGAGTCCGTGTGGGCGCTGGGTAACAGGCGGGCGGAAGTGTCGCACACTGGCCGTGCCTCGAGTGTCCCGGCGCTGGGACAGTCCCACATCCTTCAGGAGAAGAAGTATGTTGGGCTGAAGAGCTGATTGGGCAGGGCCGGGGACCAATTGAGGGAAGCACAGGAAAAGGATGGGAGAAGGCGGGCCTGGCAGGGCTTTCTTGAGGAACGTACTAAGCCAACAGTAAATCATACTGATATTTGTACACCTCGCTACGTTAACGGAGCTCTTTCATACCTGTTCTTATATATAAACATCGCAGCGTCGTGAGTGGTCTCCCTGTCTGCTTCCAAGCTTTGCTATAATCCTGGGACACTTCGCTATTATCCATGTGGAATACCCATTCGTTCGTTCGTGTAATACATAATTGAGAGATTTTTATATACCACCACTGTTCTAGGCACTGGAAATATATAGCAGTGAACAAAATAGACATATATCCCTTGTTCATGGAATTGACAATGAGAAGTAACCAAATAGACTAATGAATAAGTAAACAAATGTGTCTGGTGCTGATGAGCATTGTAGAGTAAAAGCTGAGGAAGAGGATTAAAAGTGTGTTGGGGGCTTCCCTGGTGGCGCAGTGGTTGGGGGGTCCGCCTGCCGATGCGGGGGACACGGGTTCGTGCCCTGGTCCGAGAGGATCCCGCGTGCCTCGTAGCGGCCGGGCCCGTGGGCCGTGGGCCGTGGCCGCTGAGCCTGCGTGTCCGGAGCCTGTGCTCTGCAACGGGAGGGGCC